ATTTGGCGACCCAGACATCCATGCTTTGTGTCGGCTTGGACCTGTCTTCCTGCTCGGTCTGTGTGGTCAGCTCTGGAAATGCCCTACGAGGAGTCTGTGCTCGGGTCTGAATGTCCCGTAGCTATTGGTCAGTGTGTTTTCTCTGGGGAGGGTCCCATGACTGGCGAAGCCAACTCGATCATGGGGTCACAACAGAACAAGACCCAAACCCAATAAGTAGCTGTGTCTGGAGACAGGACGGGGCTAGATGCCATCCCCCACGCTGGGGTCCTGTGTCACTGAGGACAGGGTGCAGTGACGACAGTGGGTGCACGCAGTAGGTGGGGTTTGGGCTCCCCTATCGGGACTGGTGCCAGCTGCAGTCTGGGTCCCCATCGGTCGATGTGGCCCAGGGCCCCCTGTGGCCTGGCCTCTGCTGTGTGCTCGGACCCCTGCCCCTCCAGGGCGGTCACAGCCACCGCAGGGGCCCCAGAGGGACAGGACGGAGTGCGGCGAAGCACTGAATCCCGGCACTAAGGACCTTCACGGACTTCGGAAATACACACCTTTCCAACTGTGAAAATAAAGATGTGTAGTTTCCTGAGATGTTCTGGGTCATGAACGAAGTGTTCAGGGGGATTCAGACAAGCACAAAGCTTTACACAAAGTCACATCGGGCGGTATCCCGGTGTGGAGATTTACATGCATATTTTGATCAGAGGGAGGATGGACGTGTTTAAGTGGCAGGCAGAGAAGACAGGGGCACAGACCGGTCCCCCTCGGGCTCCAGCTTCCTCCAGTGGCTTGTCCCAGGTTAGCAGCATCACAGTAAGCTTCTAATGTGTGCAAGACTTAACGATATGGGATACAGCAAGGAGGGCACGGCTGTTCTGGAAGTTTCCGCAGAGCCTGGCGGCAAGGGCCACTGTGTCCGCCCGCCACGGTGCCCATTCTCCGGCCCCTGGTCCCGGGACACCCCTAACCCTCCTCCTCCAGACCCCGGGCTCCTGCTCCATCCCGCACCTGCTCCAGCCCTGGCAGAGCCCGCGCTGTCCTGCGGCGCCCCCGTGTGGCCGCTAGCGGGCACCGCAGCCCCGCGATGGGGGATGGATTGCCTCTGTTTTAACTGTTTCCGTTTAAAACCCAACAAACTCCACCCATCATCAGCATCATTAACATTAGTCTTTATGAGTAGCTAAATTTCATTAAATCATTATTAATTAATTCATTAAGAATTAAGTTTCATCGGGCGCCCAGGTGGCTCCGTTGGCTGAATGTCTGACTCTTGGTTTCAGCTCAGGTCATGATCTCAGGGTTGTGAGGTCGAGCCCCACATCAGCTCCCTGCTTGGTGGGGAGTCTGCCTGAGATTCTCCCTCTGCCCCTCCCCCCATGCTCGCTCTCTCTCTCTCTCTCTCTCAAATAAATAAATAAAATCTTAACAGAAAAGAATTAAGCTTCATTAATAAAACTGACAGCGGATGCTGTCTAGGCACCTGCTCAGGGGCAGACCCATATGTAAGCATATCAGGTATTTTGAGAGCCATGCTCACCTTCATAATCATGGGAAACTTCGGGCTCAGACACCAGTTAAGACGCCAAGGGCAAGCCTGGGACTCAAATCTAAGACAGCCCACACCTGAGCCCACACGTGAGCCTGTACTTGAGTCTGCACCTGATTCCACACCTGTCTCTTATACAGCCTAATTCAGGGTGATGTAGCAATAACTATTTTTGGGAACTCAATTGATAACGGAGACATGGAACGTCTAAAACATCTCAAAGAGAACCAAAGGCAGACACATTTTAAATGCAATTACTGTTAGTTCAGCCAAAGTTGGGGACCTCAAAATGTGAACAGTTTCCTGATTTTTGCTAAATGTTCTGGTGAAGGAATGAATCACACTTACTGTGCCATCGGCAGTGGGCACGGTGACGCCAGCATCTCAAGCTGGGGGGAAGAAACAAGGGCCCTGTCTCTGTTGAGGTAGGACTTCAAGGAGACCATCTGCAGGGCAGGGGTGAGGGGGCTCCACCGAACGGACCCTGATTAGCCGGGGACCCAGAACAGTCATGCCCTGCCCGGGGATGCGGGAGGAGCCCAAAGCACCTGCCCTGTCCCGTGGCTGGGTCCTGCAGGTACCACCTGCCCTCGCCTGAGCAGCAGGGATCCCACTCTGCAAACGGCACCTGCTGCATTTCTGACTTTGAGCTGCCCCACCTGATTTCTGTCATCTTTTCTCTGAGTTGAAAAGTCAGAGGACAATTTGCTGACTTCGATTAGAAAACACATCTATCGTATGGTCCAGCTGTTCTCATCAGCAAGTGTCTGTTGAAATTCAAGCTCCAGAGCCAAGGTTTGAGGCAAATTCCCGAAGGGGGGCATGCGGAGGGGAGCTGCATCCAGCTCGCCACCCCCCATGCCTCACCCCTTCCTCACCCCGTGCCTCCTGCCTGGGAGCCTGGCTCGGCTTTGTCCGGGGGCCGCGTAGTGGTGGAGGGAGCACAGACGTACCTGGTCAACTGCCTGGCATTGGAAGGCGGTGGGTCATTGGAGGGGAATGGGCTCTGACATACAGCAAGGAGGGCACAGCTGTTCTGGAAGTTTCCGCAGAGCCTGGCGGCAAGGGCCACTGTGTCCGCCCGCCACGGTCTAACTGGACCCCTCAGCTGATTAGTGTTGACAGTAATAGTGTTCTAAGGGTATCATCAGGTAGAGTTACCCTCCGGCAGCCTGGGGCTTTGGCGGGTGTCAGTGAGTGACCTCTATTCAGGAACCACTTGGGGCTGTTAATGGCCACATTCCCCAGCTCATCAGTGGAATCTCCTGAGTCACGAGTGATGACTGGCAGCCC